GGGTTTTTTTTAGGGTGAGGCCTTTATGCACAAAAAGCTCTCTTGCTAAACTGCTAAATACTAGGTATTTATGAGGCCTAAAAGTGATGATTTTTGTTTCATTAAATTTTCGTAGCTACACATCTCAATGCAATGCAGTAGCACTGAATAAAATGCTTTTCAACAAATACATTTTGTGAGGAAAATTATTAATTAAACATTTCAAAAATACAACACTTTGTTACAATGTTCTGCTATCTTTTGTTGTTATTATCTTTGCATGTGATCTTCGTTTCCATCCTTGTACTTGTATGTTAGCTAACATGATACGTCAAGTTATTTAATACTATTTTTAATGATAAACTGAAGATGGTGCCTGCAGGTCATGTGCCGAAACATGTCTCTAAAAAGTTGTGTCATGATTTTCAAATGTTTACTTTAATTTACTCCTAGTACCAAGATAATATGGACATTTACAACGTAGCTATAAAATTCTTGTCTGACAATAAGTGGCTCCTTCCACCCCTATAATAAGCCCTCCCAAAAATAAGATCCCCCAACTTCAAATGTGAAGATTAATCCTGACATATTTCTGTTATTAAGTTTTGAGTCACCCATTGTCTTGGTCCTCACACCCATAACAAACTTATTACTTTGTGGGTGAATTGTACCAAGAGCAGGCAAGTTCACCCGTAACATCAAGGGCTCATCAAAGATACTCAGCCGGTGTTACGGGTTACGGCCCTTAATGGCAGCCCTGATTTCCACCCAAATATCAACCCATACAGGGTCTAACTATTTCATTTAGGCCAACATACCCACTAACAAGACCCACAACTGTGTAGTGATATTGTGGAATTCTGAATTTTCGAACCTTTGATTTTTTTTCACATCGTTCAATAATTATTATTTGAAGCAAATTTTTACTCCAATCCCTTGGCATAAAGATTAGGAGAAATTTACCCTTAATTTTGCAAACGTCCTGATTTCTTGAACCAATTTCTGTTCCTTTAGATGGTTTCAAAAACTGGAATTTCACCAAAGCCGCTTGTTTACCTTTCCTGTAGCAGTGGAGCCAGTGAATGACATTTTGGCCACGAGATCATTTCCAAGAANTCAACCCATACAGGGTCTAACTATTTCATTTAGGCCAACATACCCACTGACAAGACCCACAACTGTGTAGTGATATTGTAGAATTCTGAATTTTCGAACCCTTGATTTTTTTTTCACATCATTCAATAATTACTATTTGAAGCAAATTTTTACTCCAATTCCTTGGCATAAAGATTAGGAGAAATTTACCCTTGATTTTGCAAACGTCCTGATTTCTTAAACCAAGTTCTGTTCCTTTAGATGGTTTCAAAAACTGGAATTTCACCAAAGCCGCTTGTTTACCTTTCCTGTAGCAGTGGAGCCAGTGAATGACATTTTGGCCACGAGATCATTTCCAAGAAGAGCGTCTGTCACTTGATCCACATTGTCACGGGAACAAGGAATAGTGTTAATGACACCTGGGGGAAAGCCTGCATCTTCGGCTAGCTGTCAAGAAAACATAACATTTCATTGAGGGTGGTGATTAGGGTTGATGGGGCCTGATATTTCAAGACCCTCTCAGAATTTCTGAAAGTGGGAGTGATCTAAAACTTCCTTTTAGTAATAAAGCCTACATGTGGAGGAGTGGTGGCCTCATGGTTAGTGCGCTCGTCTCTGGATCGAGCAGTCCGGGTTTGAGCCCTGGCTGGGGACATTGAATTGACACTTTACTCTCACAGTCCCTCCCTTCACACCTAGGTGAACAAATGGGTACCAGCGAGTTTAATGCTAGGGGTAACCCTGCCATAGACTAGCACCCCATTCAGGGCGGGAGTAGAAATGTGCTACAGAAACCAGCCGTGAGGATAAGCTCCGGCCTGACAGACTGTTCTTGGCTTGTATGCAGACTTAACCTTTTAACAAGGGCGATATGGGAAATTATAATTATTGTAACTCCTTTACCCTTCATCCTCTGTTTACTGACGTTAATAATGACTTACCTTCTGAAGGGCCAAAGCGCAGTAAGGGGTCTCTTCTGATGGTTTAATTATCACTGTACATCCAGCGGCCAGTGCAGCTGCCGCCTTACGTGTGATCATCGCAACAGGGAAATTCCACTGAAACAGATTCATGCTATGCTCATTACAATTTGATGATAATAAATTACAGTTAATGCTATCTTGTCATAACCTGGTAGTTTATCACACATACATTATAAACATTTAATTGTGGAATAAACTGAGTATACAAAAATTATAAAGGACCTGTGTCAAGAATGGCACAAGTTGAAAAACTTCCTAGCTACCTTTTTCATGTTTGACAAATTTGAATTTGTCTCAGTTGATCAAACAATCCTTGTCCCTTTGTTTGTTTGTTTTTTACTTAAGGCTTCCGTGGATTTGAATGTAGTATTCTTGTACATGAACACCAACAAATAAAATATTATTTATATAATAATATACTATGGCAAAGCCCTATAATTTTTCTTAATGAAATGAAGGATAAGAAAACAAATACAGGTCACTTAGTCCAATTAACAATGATTCTCACAGTCAGTAAAAATAACTTGAGACTTCACAGTTACCGGTGTCCATAGAGCAGCGACACCAACAGGTTGTTTGAGAGAAAACAGTCTTCGCGAGGGGTGTGGTGAAGGAATGATGTCTCCGTAGATCCTCTTAGCTTCCTCAGCGAACCATTCAACATAGGATGTGGCATACCTAATTTCACCTTTAGCTTCAAACAATGGTTTCCCTTGTTCTGTGGTGAGTAACTCAGCCAGTTCTCCTTCATGTTGCACAATGAGATTATACCAGTTTCTTAACTTCTGGCTTCGTTCCTAAGTGTAAATTTAAATTAAAAAATGAAAAAGAAAATTGTAAAAAAAGGAGTATATTCTTTTCCTCTGAGGCAATAATCTAGTCTTCATGTAGCTTCCAATCAGCCCCAGGTAGGGCATGTTTGAAACACAAAAGGTGAAATGAAAAAATGGTATTATGGTAAGCCTAAATAGAGCTCTGGTAAGCTTTAATACAAGTCTGCTCAAGTTAGCCTAAATATCACTGACTTGACAATAGTTTGCTCTCAATAATAATTATATGGGTTGACCCTTACAGACACCCATCTCTGAAATAGACTAATACCTATAGAGCCATTTTGTCACTGCACCCTTCCCCACCCAATAAATTGTCTTAAGCTGCTGAAATTGTAATGCAATCGGCAACAGCATAATGTCATGTGGATTGTATACAATGTCTGTTCCATATCTATAGGTTATTGACCAAGAGTGAGGTCAAAATGGCTGGATATTGGCCAAGTGTTTTTTCTATGAGGCTAAATATAATTTAGGCAAAGTTTGAGTAGAGCCAATGCAAACAAGCAGTCTCTCTGGGCAACCATGCTTGGCGGGGTCTCATACGGGGTTTTGCAGGGTTTACACGTTTTGCTTGCCAGCTGTGTGAGAAATACTGTAGGTGCAGTTTGCCTTGAGTGCCATCCATGCCTGTTGAGTGCTTTTGCTCCCTCACCTCCCTCCCTTTCACTGGTGACAGTAAGTATATGGGGTGGTAAGACTCTATCAGTGTGACGATGCCTGGTGGTTGCTGCCTTCAGGGTTGCCATGGATACCTGCATGCTCTGCTCGAGGCTCATATCTCAGCTCCACCATCCCTAAGGCACCTTTACCAAGCTCAAAAAATTAAATTCGTTGCCAATTTAATTGGCAACGAGTTTAATGCATCAATGGACTGAGAAGGAGTCGAGGTCCATAAACTTGCAAAAAAAGAACGAGGCTAATATCCAGTCATCTTGACGGAACAAGCTTGGTCGTTAGGGATTTATTGTATGGCTTTCAGAGAAATTTTTCTTGCGGGACACTGCAGGTAGTCTCGAGCGGGAAAGATAGCTCCATTTCGCCAGCTCAGGTAGCCAATCACAGCGCAGGATTCGGTTCATGTTGCCCGCTCGCAGAGCTAACTATATGATAAGTATACGTAGATACCCACAAAAATGGCAAGTTATACCTGCAAGATTTGTCTTAAAAAGTCTAAGTCACTTGTATTTACGTACGTTAACATCACCATACCTTCGTGGTTACATTCTTCCACACTTTGAATGCATCATAAGCCTGATTTACAGCCTCTTCAGCATCAGTCCTTCCCATATCAGCTACCCTGCCAAGCTCTTGGCCTGTTGCTGGATTGTAAACTGAAAATTTTGCATCGCAGTCTTTCCATTTTCCTCCAATGTATCCAGAACTACGAAAAAGTGCCATGCCCCGAGCAAGTTGCCGCAGATGACACTGCAACCTTGTCCTCATTTTGCACACGCACGAAAGTGCACTTCGTTAATATTTAACTTAAAATAATTATTAAAAAGATACAAATGATCATCTTTATGATGACTCGCCAACCGCCATCTTGGTTTCGCTTCCGAGAAGAGGCATGGGGTACACTTGTTTCCAGGGGCTTCCGAAAAGTTTCCGCACCCGAAAAGCCGTTGCAGTATCTCAAACCTTATGATTACAGAGCTGTTTCATTTACATATTTTGTTAATATGGCTAGAACTTCCCTTCATACAAGAAGTTTCAGGCGTATACACCTTTCTGTTTTTAGATACAGATTAACTAAAAATGGCTTTGCGGACCCGAAAAGTTTCCGGGACTTTCGAGAAACAGGCCCCAGGGACCCGTTTCTCGAAAGCCCCGGAAACTTTTCGGGCCCGTAAAGCCATTTTTAGTCCATCTGTTTCTAAAAACGGAGAAATGTATACGCCTGAAACTTCTTGTATGAAGGGAACTTTTCTTCATCTTAAGAATATGTGAATAAAACAGCTCTGTAATCGTAAGGTTCGAGATTTTGCTATGGCTTTACGGGCCCGAAAAGTTTCCGGGGCTTTCGAGAAACGTGCCCCAGGTTGCTAAATTTCGGACACTTTTTATCTCATTTCCTTTCATCTCATTTCGGACAAATTTCGGACAACACTTTTGGATACTTTGCTGAAACATTGCTAAGTAAATTTATGCATACAAAACACGAATTAGATTGAAACAATATCTGAGAAAATGGTACTTATACTGTGGTTTCAAAGTTTTACGAACATAACACAGATTCTATCAAGCCGGTTACTGACGTATGTCAAGTTGTGTCTCAACTAGAGTTCGCTCCGTAATATAAAGCTCGACATAAAAGAAACTAATTGCTTTAGAGCTACTCCCAAGTTTTGTACTGCACTGTAATTTCTAGGCTATGTAATTTCATGATAGTTGACTCGACCTGCATGCGCCTTCGTCAACTATCACGCGATAGAAATCTCTTCGAGCTCATAATCTAATTGGGAAAGGAGAATGGCCTGTTTACTTGACATTCTTTGATAGACAAGTTTGCTAATTTTTTATGAACCACTCTACCTGGGCCCCTTTCGCCCACCCTTGTATACGGAAGTTCATCGGCACTCAATTTGGTCAATTCGCTAAAAGGGAAGTTTAAAATTCTGCGTGACATCGTTACGCTTGTTTCCACTGGGAACAAAAAGAACAATTCAACTTCTGTAATAAAAATAAAATGCCATGCCTGGAGACCGTTGATAATGACATGTAAACAACGGATGACCTGCTGTGAACATTATGAACGCGGTCTGAGCAGAAATTATAACGCCTATAGGAAACAACCGCCGTCAGTCGCAAAGACCGCTAGTAATAAAGTCTGGCAACAGAGAACTGGATGAGCTTTTAACAGGTAATCAGTAAACAACGAATATAAACTGATTTCTAATCACCAGGGTAAGAGAATGCAAACAGGGTTGTAATTAGTTCGCACTTCAGTAACGATGACCTTATAATCGTCGGCGACTGATTCGGTCCCATACGTTCAGCATTACATGGCTGAATTTGACCCTAGCTAAAAACAAACGTTATTCTACATTGTCTAATCTTAAACCAAGAAATGATACATGTAACATGTGGAAAGGCTTGCGGAGAATTAATTAAGATCTGGGTTACGGACGACAACTTGAAAGGAATTTGGGCGGAATTTTAATGTTATAGATGGAATGCCATTCAGTTTAATCTCAACACGAACAGTGATCTAAGCGGATTCTAAGCAGATTTTGGGCTTAACTCAAAGTATATATCTATGTGTAGAAAAACAAAACAAAACCAAAACGAACTCATGAAATGTGTTGCTGTTCTGATACTATTATTCATGACTGCTGGTTTTGTCCGTTTCAGTGAAATGCATTATAATAATTAAGTTGGCCTTTCTTGAATCAGTCCACTTTTTCTGTCATTGAATTGTAATGTCTAAATGGATATAAATCTCCTTAAAAACTAGTTTCTCGTCTTCTTAGAATACCCTTATATTAATTGTTCTTGACTTTGTAAACTGAAATTCCCGTTTAATTTTGCAGTGGGCTGGCATCAAAAGCGGCATTTCTGATCTATGCATGATGGGTGATCTGAAAGTACTAGCACTTCAAAAATTGATTTATCCTTATCATGCTCAAGAAATTCTTGTGAAGCAGGCCAAGACTTAGGAAACTTCTGTAATGGCCTTTATGAACAAATGAATGAAATCTAATGTAGCACCGTTTCAAGCTTACGTGTCAGCGTCACGGATCATAAATCTTTATACTACATGCAAAAATAACTTGATCTAATAACAGCTGATGAACTTCTTGACTATATATACGTCCTACTTTGATGGTTACATTGCACGAAAAAATAAGTTCTTTCTCGGCTTTAAATCGTTACCACTCTCAGTTTACTGACAGATTTGAAACAAGTGGGTGTTTGCACTGAATTTCCGGGATAATTTATTATGCATGCAACATCATCATAAACTGCACACGCACAACATACCATGAAAATTTTGGTAATTTTGGTTGATGACAGGAAAAAATGCTAAAAACGTAGCTAAGACTTCTCGTAAGAGCCATTCTCACCCACTGGTTTTATTAGAACAATGATCAGCTCGATCGAGCAGCGCAATGGAGTCTTTACTCAAGCCAGTCTCTAGACGCTCTAGGTAAACGCGAAATACACGGAAGAGCTTGGGAGCATATATACGCGTTGGGTGCTTCAGTGAGGTCCTAATCAGGAAATTTCGCCCGATTGAGTTGAAAGAGAACGCCTAAATACTAGATTGGTCTCACTGAATCCCCAACACCTCTATGTGAGATATCTATCAGTTTGTGTGTTATTTCTTGTCAAGCTACGACGGCCAAAGAAATCACAAGAGTATTTACGATTGTTACTTAGTTAAGCGGCGCAACGCGTAACGGCATAGTGGAGTAATACGTATTCGATCAGGACAGGCCTAACATATTTGTAAAACACAGGTTTCCATCTTTATTGAGGCGCAAAACTTATGACCCCACTTTTAGTGTTCAATGCTCAATAAATACTTCAAGCTGTCAGCTAAACTGACGCCTTTGGTTTGGAGAGACGTCATCAGACTAGTCAACCAAAAAATATTCAACTCCTTAGTGTAAGCATATAACCTTGACTACAGGGGTGCCATAGTAATGAATGGCGCTCGCTCTGGAGTAGAAAAGTACCAGAGTAACACAAAACAGCTGGTGTTAGTCATAAAGTTGGCAAGCGAAGTCGAAAAATCTAGCATACGGGTCTAGCAGGCAACTAAATCGTTGCTAATTGCTGGCGCCTTTTATAAAGTAAGTAAACAGAGTATTAAATACTTTGTACGTCGCGTATAAGGTTAGGTTAACAATTTGTGCGTTCCAATTTCATTCTCATTTTTCAGGGAAAGAAACCTCATGATTGTAGATTACTATCATTAGAATACGCCGCCAAAGATGCTGTATGGTGTTAAGAAGATTTAGACGGGCTATAGGATCTGTCGACTGAATTGGATCGCATTTAAAGTCATACTTCATCCGTGGCGCTGAAACGAACCAACGAAAGCTAGCGCTAGTTAACGCGTCTTCACAACACTGATCAGCTTTTCCTATGTTTCTCAAATAAGCGCATTTCACTGGAATTTCATGAGCATGTTGTTCAAATGAAATTTCTATGTGTGCTGTTTGTGTATCCAAGCTGTGTTTACACAAGACTGCTTTGATAAACTTCCACATCACCATTATGCGTGAGGGATTGGTTAAAAATTCAGCCGTTGTTATCAAGGTAACGTTGGAATGTTAGTCTTCCTAACAGAAGTTTTCTATCAGTTTTTGTTTTATTTCCAGATAAACTTGGTAGGTGTGCTAAGGTCGTACCAGGAGAAGAGAAAAATTCGTCAAAAGCTTGGATCATTCGGTGCTAAGGTATTTTCAGTTATATTTAATGACTTTATTATGTGGCTAACCACGAGCAGACAAGATCTAGATGAATCCTGCACTGCGATTGGCTGACTCGTGCGGGCAAGATGGCGCTTTTTTGCCGGCTCGGGATTATCCGCTGTCTCCCGCAAGAAAATAGTGTTCTTTTTCCAAATCCTTTATTGACCAAGCCTGTTCGGTCAAGATGGCTGCATGCATGATATTGGCCTCGTTCTCTTTTTTGCGTGTTTATGGACCTCGACTTCGTCTTGACCCATGAACACGCAAAGAGAGAACTTGCCAATATCAAGCCATCTTGACCTCACGCTCGGTCAATAACCCATATTTACATACACAGGAAGACAAATATTTCGTTTCAGACGCATGAAATTCTTGTGTTTACAAAAAAAACCTCTTGTGAGAGAGATTGTCCGCATGGTTGCTAGATTCCAAACTTTAGCTAAGCGTATTCGCACTTTAGATAACTCCAACTGTTTTATGTTTTTCGGCATTTGAGACTTATAATGCGTCTGTTTTATGTTAAATATGTGTGATTGAGTAGAGACAACACCCCCCCCCCCCGGGGGGGAGCCTCCCTTCAAATTTTGTGAAGGTTAGCGAGCTTTAATGTACCCCAGGTCCCCGGTTTCCGGCCATTCTCGTCTCCAGAGCCTCCATTTCGTTTGGTTACGTGGTCGGTTACTTTTAATAAGAGTAGTATTGGGGACGAGAATGGGTTTACGGCGTTTTAGTAAATGAATCCTATAGATTTTGCGATTTCGGTCTGAAACTGAGTTTGAGCTTGGTTTTTGGCCCGAGTTCTAGTTTGCGACAGCTAGAAAACGAAACTGTCATTTTCTTTATGTGTTATCAAATGCTCTTGTATTCACGTTTGGAATTCTGTTCGCATCTAGAAACTCTTGGCGGCAGGCAGGTGTTGATTTTGTGACGGTGTAGCGGAACTTCCAGAGCAAGAAGTGTTACAGACATGATAAACTTGTTTCTCGTCCTGTTCTTTGGTTTCAAGCACAATACGGTTTCTGCTGAAGGTAGGTAGAGCGCACTCCGGGCGCTAACTCTTTTTTTTTTTTTTTTAATTTTATTCCTCCAATTCCTAGTTAATACATAGTTAAGTAAATATAACGTAAAGAAAGTAAATAATAACCGATAGTGCTTTGTAAGGAAGAAAAAAACGCAAAAAACAAACAAACAAACAAACAAAAACCAGAAATTACATCACTTAATATTTGTTTTCTGCATGTTGCGTTAAGCGTGATTGCTTCCCTGCGTGGAATTCCCATAAAAAAAAAATGGAGGTAATCGTCGGAAATTTTGAAAAGAATCCCTAAGAGGTACCAAGATCCTGTTTTTTGGGGTAACATGAAGTGCTTTTTCTTTTACTCCTAAGAAGTACCAATGCTTAAACAAGACATTATCTCCTCCCATATGTTTTCAGCTCAATACCCTAAAAGATACCGCTAAAACTCCCGCTGTGGACCTTTTGAGGCTGAATACCCTGAGAGATACCAAGACCGCTTTTTGAACCCCTAAAATGTAGGACAAGCACCCCCCGCACTTTCTATATGGAGTCCCCAAGGGGATTGCTTTTCCATTTAACGTGAGATCAATCGCCCGGTTTTAAGCTTTTTCATGCTTCTTGGATAAGAAACAAAACAATTTATGGGGATGGTGTGAGTAGTGATTTTTTTTTTTTTTCTGCGTCTTTTGTCACGCTAGATTTGGGAGCTGTTTCTACCTGCTTACCAACACACATGCGGATGGAAGTGGACCGAACCAAAAATCCCGACCTTGTGCCTGGGGAAATGCATCTTAATGACCCCAACTACACTGCCACAGAATTCAATGACACCTTTGTCCTGTTTGAAATACCACTGGATGGCTGTGGAACAACACGAGATGGATCAAACCCAGACTATTTACTTTTCTCTAATACTGCTCACTGGGATTCGCCAGGACAGCTTATAACTTATACAAAAGGATTTAAGGCTCACATCACTTGCAGATACTCTAGACATGGATCTGTTGGTGTACGTGTGAGAGTTGTGCCTGAAACAGAGGAACCTCCAACAGATCCAAAGGGTAAATCCTGATCAGCTTTTTCTCTTTTTGCGCAATGTGATTGGTGCATAGATTACTGCAATCTGCAACTTAACCTGACCTGATGGTAAACTTTAACCTTCCCCTCTACCCCCTCCATTGCGCCCCTCACTAAGACAATTTATCAAGAGGAAACGCATTTCTTTTGCAGTCACTAAAGTTTCAGTAGAGTTACCTACCACGACATAAACCATCTTTATTTTTATTACTATCGATTTTACCATTCGAATCACAACTACCCTCCCTGGTCTTTACATAAACACAGGACGGCATCTCATAAGATGTTACAGATAACTCTTTCAATTTCATTCCATCCTTAAACTCGCGCGCTTTCTAACGCTTCACCATTGTGTGCATTTAGGAGAGGATTACACCATCCATTCTTGTATGCAAAATACTCGGCATCGTTTGTTACCAGAGCCTCAGCTCTCTTTGGACATGAAAGGGAACTGAGACTGGATCGTGTTTCTTTGTTGCATCGTTTTCAAGCGGAAAGATGCAAAAAGGAACAGAAATTCTTGTTGCACTATCTGACTCAATTTCACGAGTTGAATTGGTAACAATATTAACATGCGTTTTGCATTTTAGTTTTTAAATATGTAAAAACAGCGATTGAAATGTCATGTAAAAGATATCAAACTCAGTTTGATGGTTTTACATGTAATAGTTAACACGATAAAACTGAAAAAGTTTCATTTTTTAACATGTTTTAAGCAGAAACATGTGAAAATGGATCAAATGTCTTCTTTTGGCTATTAAACTCACCTTGCTGAATTTGATAGTTAACAACAAAACCGTTAACTTTTTTTAAGCAGAGACATAAAAAACATGGGTTCAGAATAAATGTACCCATAGTTATACTGATAAGTGAATAGAACCTTTTATTCCCTCGACACCCATCAACTATCAGTCTGGTGTGATCCGATCTTTATAGTTACGTACCGTTTCCACATGAAAGAAGATTGAAATCCATGGTGACACGCGCGACAAAAAATATAACTCAAAGGTGTTTTAAAACACACTTAAAATACTTGTTTTTGCTTTTTAGTTAGAATCATGCGAATTGACAGCCGCTAATCTCCAAATGTGACAGGTAGTGCGTCACTACATTTTCTAGGAACTGAAATTTATGGTAAGGAACTGGTGATCAGTCCAAATTATACTTACATGTATGTCCCCAGTTGCTACTAAATTGATGCATTCAATAACTTAAAGTCTTTTTAAAAGTTTTATGGTATACAGCGCTAATGTTTTCCAGAAATTTACTTTTATTTTGCAGGAAAGCAATCTATTTAAAATGTTTTTCACAGCATTGGTCAAGAATTCAAAGTTGGAATGCTTTTACGTTGTACATTGCGTGACACTAGTTAGAGTACACTCTCCGTAAGCTTTTCGTGACGTGACGATCGAGAGAAGACAGAGAGGTGCGTTAATGACCACCCCGGGAGGTAGTGTTACGTTGAGTGTGACGTCTTACTTTCACAGTGCCTCATTCCATCCTGCAGGGTACCTGATGATAGCATATCGTCGGCAACCTTACAAGTTGATGGAAGTTTCATCATTGTAAACTGCGATCTACTCGGCACCCCAACGAGATGAAGAAGCTCTACAAAAAGTCGAACGTTTAATCCACATTTTAAAATATAAATGCTGCTATAACTCCTCCAGACTGGACGTAACTTAGCTTATAACTTAACTTAACTTATTTAAGGGTGTCAACCTTTAATATGAATACTTATCACACGACTAAGTTAGCTCACGACGAATTAAATACTTCGTCTTCATTTCACGAACAATTATTTTGGAAAATCACGGTTCACGGCTTCTAATGAAATCACGATTCACGAGAAAAACAAACCATTTCATATTTCACGGGCAAAAAAACTAGGCCATTCACGAATCACGAAAATACCCTTTAGCACTCTCTTCTGTGAACCGGGGTTCCCCACTATAGTCAGACCGGCCGGGCCACTCAGGCCTTGACCACACCACACCGGAGGAATTTGAAAAAGGAGGTTTCACTCTGAAATCACATCAAATGTTTTCCGTCCACACTACGACGGAGGAATTTAAAAACGCAGCAATCACCGGTCATTCTTGGATTTGTATTTGAGGAAACCTCGGGCAGGGAAATCACATGTCGTGACGCAATCGTTTTCGAAAAGCTCCGTTTTCAAAATGTTTCCCGTCTACACGAAAACGAGGGGAGCCGACGTTTTCAGATTGCTCCGGTTTGAGGAGCGTTTTCGAAAAGCTCCGTTTTTGTGACGGATTATTGTGGAGGGTGGGCCTAACCGTAGAAATAAGATAGAAAAGATAGACTCGTCTCTTCAGGACCCTTCATGGCCTTCAGGCATGCTATGGCCACCACTTCACTTTCTCCTCTTCTGTTGAAACTCTCACGTCCTGTGCAGTAGCTATATAGTTGGATATTTTGTGGCCCTTGAACGGTTTAATTTGTTTTTCCTCCGAATCTGCAGCTGTAGAAAGCGTGTACGGAAAGACAAAGAGGCCTATATTGATCAAGCGAGTGGACGGGTGGAAATACTTTCGGTAGTTCCTAGATCTACTGAATAAGTAAACACGAGAAGCTTTTTACTGATGTTTGTCTTTTTTCAGTTTTACCTCCCTCTCTTACAAGCTTGGTCTTGTTAACGTAGATAAGATCATAGTAAATGGTTTGAACCCAGGGGTATCAGTAGTTCGTATAGTGTGATCGTCCGGGTGAGTGTAGTTCTGAAAAGAACTGTTGTTGGTGACTGA